TCGCGTAGTAAAGATTTTTCGTGAAGATATCTTCGGTAATTCAAAATTATGGATGGGGCAGAAGGATGACAAAGATAAATTGATTGCCATTTCTTTGTCTTGCCACGGACGTCAATTTAAATCGGCTTAATTCGTGGAATCTACCCCCAAACTAACGAGACTCAGAGGTGAGTGTTCGTTGTAAAATAGACAATGAAGCGACAGTGAAAGTAAACGAAAAAGAAAAAGTGAAAGAAATTTAATTTGGTGGGCTAAAATAACTGGAAGAATGGTGGCGACTCCGAAGAAACGCCACACAGGGAAATAAGAGCAAGTCTTTTTTTGACGGGCGGAAGGGAGGGAGGCGAAGCGCCCATTTCTTCCTTCTTTTAATCTTACTTTCCCGTAAACGGGCAGCCAGGCGTTAATTCAACAGCATTGATTGCCACACATACACACACACACATACACGTACGCGTATGTACATCCACAAAGCTCCCACCGAGTCTGCTCGCAGATTCCGGACCCTCGCCGCCGCTTTCTTTTCCTTTTCCTCGTCATCCCCTTTTCGTGTACTCGCCCGATGTCTCCTCTGCCTCTCTCTCTCTTTCGCTTTCTTTCCCTTTTTCCGACGGAGGCGCGCGCTCGCGCTCGCTTTGTGATGCGTTATACGCCCGAGGAGCGCACAATCAAACGTCGACTCTCTAATTTTGTTTGGATAGCGAAAATTGACATGGGCTCTTTCTCTCTCTTTTTCTCTCCTTGCTTTTGTGACGAATTCTTGGGATTCTCGAAAGAGAGAGAGAGAGAGAGAGAGAGAGAGAGAGAGAGAGAGAGAATGCGAGCGAGCACGGTTGTAGCTGCTTTAAAGCTCGGTTATTTAATTGCTTTTTCGATTTAGATTGTTATCTGTTCAAAGACCATTTCGTCTGTGAAGGGAGTTTGAAATTGGTTTGAAATCAGTTCGCATTCGATGTTTCTTTAATCAGTTTTCAATCGCACACAACTGTCATTCGTCGAGATTTGCAGTATAATTATAAATTAAAAAGATATCATCTTACTTGAGGTAGTCATTGTACTAAATCGATGCCACTTTAAGATAATTTTTTATCCAACCAGAATGATTAATGAAATTTCCAGTCATCGAGCACACGCTAATTGTTATTTACTTATCTAAAATCAACGAATATAATACCTATATATATTTGATTGACGAATTTAATGCACTACCCAACGGTTATTTTTTTGCAATTTCCAAAAGTGAATTTTCACAGACTGGAAATTCGTTTTTTTATCGTTAATAAGACCGGTGAACTATCGCGCTTCACCCTGATACTCCTTTCGGGAATGCACATACATACACACACACACACGAACACACAAACACAACAGTAGAACAAATATATAATGAGCGCTTTTACGTATCCGAATCGTGTAAGTAAGTTGTGACATCATTATTTTTCACATTTCTAGGACTATCAACAAATGAGTAATTTGTAACAATATCACAGTTACCTATAAACAATGATTTAAAAAATAAAATAACTATCAAAATTTTAACTCATAAGAGGAGTAACTCAATTTATTTTAGCGAACCATGAGTTTTTGTATTTAAACCAGAACAGATATTAAAAATTGAAATAAAAAAAATATTCTCGTAATGTTTATTCATAATTCGTTATCAATTTTCCACATAGTCCCGTATTTGTAATAAGTATATCCGAATAACAATAGTAATTGGGGTGACACTAGATTTATTTACACTCTAAGAAATTGACACAAGGTAGTTTCAAAGGATAAAAGAACTCTGATCGAATGGTGCATTGTAGTTATATAATTAAAAATATTTGGATGCATTAAATGATTTACAGTTAACAAAGAGAAATTGGAATTGGCATTCGTCGTCCGAGCAGCGAACGAATGCTGCGAAGCAAATTTGAACTTCGGTGATGATTAAAACCTATAGAACCGTCATTCTTGATAGTACGAATATAACACCAAAGCTTTGTGCCGCTATAGCACGCGTGAATTGAAAAAACCGAGGATAGTCCCCGGCTGGATATAGGCCTAGATTGGTTCCGCCTCCCTTACACTTTGGCGCTTCGGATTATTTCCCATCGCATGACATACGCATATTTCATGACCAGCAGCAGTCGATCAGCAATTCATTCATGTAAGTGCTAACAGCGAATTCTGAAAGCTCTGCCACTTGCATTCAAATGAGCTAGTTGGCAAATCAAGGTTTCCCAGGGAAAGACGAAGAGGGGGAGCGAGCAGCGAGCTAATTTCTTATGGAATCGGGCGCAGCTGTCGAGCGGACTAGCGCGCGGGTTCAATGGAATCGTAAAATCGATAAAGGCAAAAGTAGAGTCCCGAAGAGACTTAAGAAGAATGCTCGCTCCATGCAAACGATCGAGATAAATGATCCTGAGGGAGGAACTCGACGCGCGGACTTCCGCGTCAAAGGGAGACTTTTCGCGCTCGTCTCTCGCAAGAGCAGCAAAGAAAAAGAGAAAAGACACAGAGGGTCAATCTATAATAAAAGCTCGAGAGTAGCACTCGCTATCTCCGCTCGGCAAACGCCTCGTAAAAAAAGGAGGGGACTTTGCTTGAGAACGGATTACGAGGGTGAAATCGTAGGACTGATGGTCATCGAGTGTATGGCCCGTCATGAAATTCACACTCGAATTGTGTACTCGGATAAAGAAGACAGAGAGAGAAAGAGAGAGAGAGAGAGAGAGAGAGAGAGTAAAAGAAGAGAATGAAACCTAGGCTTCTTTGCCGGAAGGTGTTGGCTTTGGCTTAGATGTATTTGATCGAATAACATAATAAGAGGCGATAGATAGCTTTCAATTCTCGTTTCAAAGGTCTGATTATTTTATAGCCAAAAAGTTGAGTAGCACCAAACAGCAAATGTTAAATTTACGTTTATTTCTTGATCAGTATGACGATGCAAGAGTTTATTAGGAAAATGAACACATCTTTAAGAATGAAAATATGGAAAAAAGTAAAAATTATCTGAGCTTTTTAAATATCTTTCTCAAACAATTGCCTCTACTGTCGATTACTTTGATGCGAAGTCTTTAAAAGCTAGTAATGGATTATTGCAATCACTAGGAAAGCAAATTTGACGTTATGCAGATTCGATTATTACAAAATACGATATTTTTTATGTAAGCCGACGATCGCTTACTGATAAATTAATTACTGGCATTAGAGATGTGGTCTGTTAACACCGCGAGGCTCCAATATATCTGCATACACATTAAAGGCAAAATAAATGCTAAAGAGCGCACCGCGCCAACAAAGCGTAAAGGAGGAAGAGTCGTAAACGTAAAAAGTCTTTGGAGCTTTTAGCTCGCATGGTCTTCGAAGGAGTCGTTGTAGCTCCACTCACCTGTCGGCGAATGTGTGCAGCACTCGGAGCAGCGCGTGCCTGAAACGCCGCATAATTTCCGAATGTTCAAGGTTTACGCAAACCCTTATGCTAATATTACCGAAAGATCTTATCTGCCGCGGTCTTTAGAGCGCGCTTAGGCTGACGCACGGCACGGACCGTTACTCTTACCCGCAATTACCGCGACCTTGACGTTTTTCAGCTTTCCGCTGAAAAACGTTTGTGATCCGCGTGAATGGATTACGACGGTTTATGGTCGGTGTACGTCGCTTTGATAATCTTTTATCGAAATATCAGAACTTTAGCTTTCGGTACAAAATAAACCTACCGCGCCAAGTCAGTACGTAGATCACGTGAAAAAAGACGAAAGAAACGATGATTTCCGGTCGAAGGAGCGATTCTTCCAAGCAGTTATGCACACGAGGAGCCTCGCACGCGGGCGCGACCAGCGATACATTTTTGGGAAAATAGAAGAGCAAGCGAGGAGCCTCCGAGGAGCAGAGCTGGCATAAATCGCGACGCGCGCTTGCTTTTCCTATAATTTCGTTTATTGCAGTTATACTTCAAGGTGCAGCTTGCCGGCCATGCCCGAACCCAGCGGATCCATAATACGATTTACAGAAATGGCAGCAGCGCGCGACAGAGAAAAACAGTTGGACGGGCGAGTTTTCGCAATCTCGCGCCGCGGGAGACACGATGAGGCATCACGCCGTGGCGTTTTGTCTTTGCTCCTGTTACGTGTGTATGTGTATGTGCATCGCGAACTTTGACCATTTAGGACAGCCGCGGTCCCCTGCGATATTGCGATCTTCGCGTACGACAATTTCACGATAATAACCGGCGAATTGCGAATTGACGTGCAATGCTTTGAAATCATACAAATTATTGGAATGTATTAGTGATATTAGACATTTATTGAAATAACAGGATTTGCTTTATTATTTCTATTTTGAATGAGACCCACAAAGAGATCTACAGTTGTTGGATTACTGCTCAAAAGCATTTCGGATTGCGCATTCCAACTCGAATGGCTTTCGATCATTCGTCAGACGAATTCTTTTAATCCAAATTAGATAGGCGACTATTAGTTCGGGAAGCAAGTAGATTATGAGAATTCTTTAAAATACATTATTTAAACGTTGCTTATCATTCACGATCCGAGTCTGGTTTCTCGATCGTTTCAAGCTCCAAACACATTTACGCCTACGCTGCGCCTTCGGCTGCTCGCTCATATACACCGAGGTGCAGACAAAAGTTGGAGTAAAGATAGTCATAAAAGCAGTAGGTACAGTGCAGATGCCGACCAAACGAGGTTTCTTTTAATTAAACTGTCGCGCGAGCAGAAGAAGAGCGAGCGACCCTTCAGAAAGAAGAGAGAAAGAAAGAGAAAGAGAGAGAGAGAGAGAGAGAAAAGAAGCTCGGTGGCGAGCGACGTAGCGAAGCGACAGGCATACAGGCGTTATCAGCGCTCGCCAGCAGTTCCCTTTCCGATGGGTCGCAGCTTATATTCTGTATCTCGTTTGGTTCCCAGAATCCGGCAGACCGAGTATGATATCGACAGGGTGCCACGCGCGCGAGCGCGCGCGAGAAAGAGAGCGAGTCTAATTACGTGGATTCGACTTACCCGCTTAAAGGCCCAATTTTTGTCAGGAATGGCCGTCCTCCCTCATTGTAGTCGTCGTCGTCGTCCTCTCCTCGTTCTTCCATGATATCGATCTGAAAATTGATATCGATAACGTTATGACGGCTTTTGGCATGTTTTATTAATATTTTGCTGTCGTTGTATTTACTCTTGTTATTACTTATATAACGGTATTGTTATGTTATTACTTGCTGAAATAAATGCTTCATTCTGTATGAGAACACGGTCGTTTCGTGAGATCCGAGCTTCCAACGACGCAAGTCGTTACGATGGATAGACTGTATTTTTTTATAGGAGCTTGCAAAGCAGTGAGCTAGACATTTTCATGATTGCAATGAATCAATATACAACTAGAATTTAATTTGCATTGTAAATTTTTTCCGTCAGCAGGGTGTATACAGTATAAACATTAATATTACAATAATAATGCAGTACGAGGTATATCCCATCGGCAACGCCGACTCTAACAGCATCGATCAGCTTTCTTGGTGAAAAAGAGTACATGACCAAACATGAATGGTAGATTCAGAAGACGCGAAGCCACGAGAATTATAATTAGAATGAATTTGATTTCCGTTCACGTATATAATCGCAAGAAAGTATGGATCAACGCGCCACGTCCATCTGATCATGCGTTCAGCGAACTTGTCGAACGTTGCCCCCAAATGATTCGATCTTATTATCGTCTCTCAACCCCAGCCAAAATTGTCCGTTCCTCGACAATAAGCGACAACGTTGATAGTTCTTCGCATCGTAACGCCCGTATCACAACACTTGACAATTCATCGCGTACAGCGTAATACAGCAAAAATATTGGACGACGTGGACAGAAGCCGAGGAGTCGTAAAGAGCGCTGCGAAGCAGAGGCAAAGGAAAGAAAAAAAAAATAGTAAAAAGTGATCGTCGTCGATCGAGAGAGGGAAAGACGGAGCGCAAGAAAGTAGACGAGATCGACTGCGGCAAGCGGGGCACATCGCGTGTGTAAGCTCGCTGCCCTTTTTTTCTCTCTCTTTCTTCTTCAGTCCAGTCTCGCATAGGTCAACTGGATATATGGCATCGTTATACGAGCTCTCGCTCGCGCGCGACGTCACGTTGGCCGATCGTATAATGTCCAGCCCCTGCCGCACCGCTGTCGCGCGCGCGCGCGCGCGCGTTGCCGCCCGGACTCACGCTCGGCGCGATTTGCACGCTTATTACCTCCTCTTGGTTTCTTCATCGGTGCAATTTGCATCGACGGCTCTCCGTGCCGCTGACCGGGAACGCGAGCCCTTCTCGAATTTCAACGCGATGCTCTTCGATTCGCCTATATATCTATCCGGCTTAGACTCAATCGGATGAAGCATCGCGCTTGCGGATATCTGTCTGTAGTCGACCGTTCTCTTCTCTCCCGATATACGCCGGCCAGCGAGTCGGAGGCTCCTATATATCCTGCAGGGCGAAATTACTTATAATATCAGCCAGCAGGCAGACACGCCCGATCTGCCGTCGGCGTCACTATTGCGCCGCTAGCGCGCGCGCGCGCACACACAGTTGCGCCTCGATCCCGTAGAGAAATGCTCTCTTTATTATCTATCAGAAGCAATCTACTCGCCGACGCTTTTCTCCTGCCTCTCTTTTGTATTACTTTTACTTAGTTACATTCTTCCTTCCTGCCTCCGTCCTAACTTGCCCCGACTCTCGGCAACTTTCAGTCACATTTCTATATCGCTTAAATGCTTCTGATAGCACGACAATACCATTTTATACTCCGCTGGCGTTCCGCCGACGGAGGCGCGAGAGGGATCGTCTCCTCTTCGAATTGCCGAAGCTCGTCCGATCGTAAACAAAGTGCTCGCTGCCCCGAGGCCAGCGACAACGGCATTCGGCTCGCGTCGGGAAACCGAGCGCTTTCTCCGCGTCGGCGGCTCTCGCTCATTAATTTCCAGTTGGAGCTCGATCGGCGGCTTGTCCCTCGGCTGCCGCGCGCGCGTCCCGGGAAATGCTCGTGCCGCGCAAACGGTCCAGCTAATTTAGAACGAGCGTTCCGTGAAATCGCCGGGCTCAGCCGGATAATGAGAGGGCGAACGCCGTCGCCGCGACCAAAAGACATCCATCCCTTGGACCGCGGCAGTCCACGCGACTGCTAATCACCGGACTACGCTCGTTAGCGAAATTCAATGCTGTACGGATCTCTTACCATGTCCGACAAGTGTGGCTAACAATCTGCAACGCGTCAGGTTCTTTTGTCGATTCTCAATGAGCATCAGAGGATAGCATTGTATTTGAGCAAACACAACGCTCTTTTTTCCATCTTTCCTCCTTTCTTGTGGTAATGAGAGAAAAAGTATAAGGTTTCCGCGAGCTGCAGCACGGTTCGTTAAAAAAAAAAAAAAAAGAAAAAAAAAAGGAAAGGCAACAACGAAACAAGTTATAACATTATTACCTCGAAAAGCGAGTGCCTTATTACGATGGTTCTTTGTCGATGCTACGATATTTTCGAAGTTAATTGCGTTTCGGGAGTAAGTTGCTCAGGCAATGATTATTTCCAGGCAGCAGCTAGTAGTGGCGCTAAGGGGTCGCCAACTCTCTCTCTCTCTCTCTCTCTCCTCGGTCCATTGCAAAAATCTCTCTGATCCTCTCGCCTCCTCGCGTTCGATCTAATACACAGCGCAGAGCAGAGCCACTCGAGCGTGCTCACTTAATTCCCGCTTCGAGATGTAATTTGTGTCGCTTTGAAGCTCGGCGCATTGTTCTTACTCCCAGTCCGCCAGAGAGGGATATAACGAGCTCTCGTTTCAGCGATTCCCTCGTTTACTCGCCTCCCCTTCCCTCTCCTTTGTCCCTCCTTCTCGCCCTCTTTCTCTCTCTCTCTCTCTCTCTCTCTCTCTCTCTCTCTCTCTCTCTTCTTCTTTTCTTTGCAAACGCGCCTTTCATTGTATAAAACTCAAGTGTTTTCAATTACTGCGCACACTGACGATTCTTATTATTCCTCGGCATATATACACTTGCGCAGTGCGCGCTATAGACTTTTCAAAGATTCCTCTCGTTTCCGAAGACCGTCAATATTCATTGAATCTTGGTCGCGAAGTAGGCCAGTCGTGTGCCGCGGGCTGTACGCGCGAGAACTTCAAACAAAATTACGAAGAACGCGAGAAAAAAAAAAGCTCGATCCCCTCCGACGGGAATGTTTATCTATATATCCAGTTGAGATTTTTTCCGTGGAAATGGGCTCTGCACCGAGGGAGAAAGAGAGCAACAAGAAAAGCATCAGGACATGTTTTCTCGCTGCAAGAGAGTTGCTGCATTGTTCCCTTCGCGGAATCATAATCGTCGGTAATATAGTTTTTTGCCGACTTAATCGCGCCGCGCCGCAGCGGCCGATTCGCTCGTTAAGATGTGAACGCCGGTCCAGTCGCATTTCTCCTCGTCGTTTGCCGCGGACCTCGCGCAAGAATCTTCCTATCGTCGACGGGAACAGCAAGCAAAGAGAGACAGCGGCTTTTCTTCTGCTCTGTGTGTTTCGGTAAAAAATTTTGCCGGACTGCCGAGTGTAAATGAGACTCCGCTCGATTGTGAATACCAAGTAGTCACATTTGAATTTCGTTGCTTTTATTTTCTTTTTACGAAAGTTTGCATTGTTCTGACAATGTTTATATTTTTATTTGTCATTGTATTCTCACAAAAAAATATCGATATTGCTATAACAAGCTTTTTGCATTGCACTTGTTAACGCCTAATTGATGTAACCTCATCACGAAGTGTATAAGCGAAAGAGAGGAAAAATGTCGACGTATCAGATTAATCAAATAAATGAATTAAAATTTAAATTCTGGCTGAGAGTTAAGTCGCTAATTGCGCCTGGAACAGATACGTGCGTCGATTTGCAATGCAAGCTCGGGCAGTGCGGATTTGGCCGGTGCGAGATGGCGAGGAAAAAAAAAACAAGAGCTCGCAGCAGAAGGAAGAGAAGAAAAGGAGAGAGGATTGAACTCGTCGTTTGAATGCTAATCAATCGAGATTCTGCACAAAGAAGCGACTTTACGCGCTGAGGAAACACCGTGACGCTGTGATCTTAAGTGAGAGAGCTTCGATGCCTTCGATGCCGAGAACGCGCGCTGCGCTGATTGCGTGCAAATGAGTTGACTTTCGTGACTTTGTAATTGGGTGCTTGAGATTGACTTGTACTACTGAAAGTATGCTGCTCGGCACTACCACTTTGTCTTCAGCGAAAGGCGTAACTTTACTGGATAAGTGCGTCTGCGAAGGCGTTTCGGAAAACAAAAAATTTGTTTAGAATGCGATAAAATGAAATCCGCCTCGATCGTTCGTTGATGGCGTGTACTGGCTGATTTCCGACAACCAATGGGGGGGGGGGGGTCAATCGGGGATTCCTCGAGCACTCGTTCCTTTCCCTCTGGCGCGTGTGTACATCTGGGAAGCGCATTGGCAGTGGCGAGAGCAACAGCAGCAGCTGACGGCTGCGTCGCCTCGATAAGAAGCGAAAAGAAAAGAAGAAAAAAAACGAGAAGCCGGAGCAAGGTGAAAATGAAGTCGTAAGGCTCCGCGAGTCCTTGAGGGGAGAAACGAGAGTAAGAGTAGACAGCGGCGCACGATGAATTTTCATTGGCCGAGGCAGTCTTTTTGTCCTTGGTTTCGCTTCGACGAAGCCAAGACGAAGAAATCGAATTCCTGGACGCGCCCCGCGAGCAGCATGAATATTCATGGCCTCGCTCCTTCTGGCGCTGCTGCGCGCGCGCGAAACGAGCCACGTCCAGGCCGCGAGGTTGCGCTGCGCTTGAAAAAGCGGCCGCGTGCCTGCGCAGCGAAATTAAAAGCGCGCTCACCGGCGGCAAAATATGCATCGGGAGAGGGGAAAAATCCGCGCCGCGGGAATGGCTTTTCGAAAGAGGCGAAGGAGCTAAAACTGGCTTCGGTGCGTGTCCTTTTCTCTCTATATAGCTAATGGCGCTCGCGGGGATGTTTTGCCTTCGCGAGAGCAATTTCAAAAGTATTTTCGAGGAATAACCGCGCGGCTGCCGATCATTATGAACCGAGGGCTCGCCAGTAGAAAACAAAAACTTAAGCTCGAGATCAA